ATAGAATAATAGAGTAATGGAGTAACAGAGTAATAGACTATGTGTGTGGAAAATTGAAACCCTTTGCTATGTTCGCGAAGCGAGGAAATTTTTTTGTTTTTTTATGCAAAATTCATGCAAATGCTTTTGGTGCGAGTGTCTGGAGCAAGCCTTGTAGTGTGTGTGGAGTACTAGAGTTGAAAACAAATATGGATGTTCGCGAAGCGAAGAAATTTTTGTTTTTTATGCAAAATTCATGCAAATGCTTTTGGTGCGAGTGTCTGGAGCAAGCCTTGTAGTGTGTGTGGAGTACAAGAGTTAAAAACAAATATGGATGTTCGCGAAGCGAGGAAATTTTTTGTTTTTTTATGCAAAATTCATGCAAATGCTTTTGGTGCGAGTGTCTGGGGCAAGCCTTGTAGTGTGTGTGGAGTACTAGAGTCGAAACCAAATATGGATGTTCGCGAAGCGAAGAATTTTTTTGTTTTTTTATGCAAAATTCATGCAAATGCTTTTGATGCGAGTGTCTGGAGCAAGCCTTGTAGTGTGTGTGGAGTACTAGAGTTGAAAACAAATATGGATGTTCGCGAAGCGAGGAATTTTTTTTGTTTTTTATGCAAAATTCATGCAAATGCTTTTGGTGCGACTGTCTGGAGCAAGCCTTGTAGTGTGTGTGGAGTACCAGAGTTGAAAACAAATATGGATGTTCGCGAAGCGAGGAAATTTTTTTTTTTTTTATGCAAAATTCATGCAAATGCTTTTGGTGTGAGTGTCTGGAGCAAGCCTTGTAATTAGTGTGTGTGGAGTACTAGAGTTGAAAACAAATATGGAGGTTCGCGAAGCGAAGAAATTTTTTGTTTTTTATGCAAAATTCATGCAAATGCTTTTGGCGCGAGTGTCTGGAGCAAGCCTTGTAGTGTGTGTGGAGTACAAGAGTTGAAAACAAATATGGATGTTCGCGAAGCGAGGAATTTTTTTGTTTTTTTATGCAAAATTCATGCAAATGCTTTTGGTGCGAGTATCTGGAGCAAGCCTTGTAATTAGTGTGTGTGGAGTACTAGAGTCGAAACCAAATATGGATGTTCGCGAAGCGAAGAAATTTTTTGTTTTTTTATGCAAAATTCATGCAAATGCTTTTGATGCGAGTGTCTGGAGCAAGCCTTGTAGTGTGTGTGGAGTACTAGAGTTGAAAACAAATATGGATGTTCGCGAAGCGAGGAAATTTTTTTTGTTTTTTATGCAAAATTCATGCAAATGCTTTTGGTGCGAGTGTCTGGAGCAAGCCTTGTAGTGTGTGTGGAGTACCAGAGTTGAAAACAAATATGGATGTTCGCGAAGCGAGAAAATTTTTGGTTTTTTTTTTATGCAAAATTCATGCAAATGCTTTTGGTGTGAGTGTCTGGAGCAAGCCTTGTAATTAGTCTGTGTGGAGTACTAGAGTTGAAAACAAATATGGATGTTCGCGAAGCGAGGAAATTTTTTGTTTTTTATGCAAAATTCATGCAAATGCTTTTGGCGCGAGTGTCTGGAGCAAGCCTTGTAGTGTGTGTGGAGTACTAGAGTTGAAAACAAATATGGATGTTCGCGAAGCGAGGAAATTTTTTTGTTTTTTTATGCAAAATTCATGCAAATGCTTTTGGCGCGAGTGTCTGGAGCAAGCCTTGTAATTAGTGTGTGTGGAGTACCCCCCAATAAGCGATGCTCATGCTGTTTGCTTTCCTGGGACTGCTTGGTGTGACTACCCCCCAATAAGCGATGCTCATGCTTTTTGCTTTCTTTGGACTGCTTGGTGTGACTACCCCCCAATTAGCGATGCTCATGCTTTTTGCTTTCCTGGGACTGCTTGGTGTGACTACCCCCAATAAGCGATGCTCATGCTGTTTGCTTTCCTGGGACTGCTTGGTGTGACTGAAAACAAATATGGATGTTCGCGAAGCGAGGAAATTTTTTGTTTTTTTATGCAAAATTCATGCAAATGCTTTTGGTGCGAGTGTCTGGAGCAAGCCTTGTAGTGTGTGTGGAGTACTAGAGTTGAAAACAAAATATGGATGTTCGCGAAGCGAAGAAATTTTTTTTGTTTTTTTATGCAAAATTCATGCAAATGCTTTTGATGCGAGTGTCTGGAGCAAGCCTTGTAGTGTGTGTGGAGTACTAGAGTTGAAAACAAATATGGATGTTCGCGAAGCGAGGAATTTTTTTGTTTTTTATGCAAAATTCATGCAAATGCTTTTGGTGCGAGTGTCTGGAGCAAGCCTTGTAGTCTTCCCTGTTCTACGTAAGACTGCTGCATGCTTCTAAATTCTTCTAAATTCTTCTAGATTCGTCGGAATTCTGCAATTTTCTTCCAAAATATTCCGGTTTCTGCCTGTCTGTCAAGACATGCCTGGTTCCCAACACCATTTTTTTTCATTTGTACACACACACGGTATCCCCCATTTCTTCGTTTTTCTACCTTTTCTACCTTTTTCTACCTTTTTCTACCTTTTTCTACCTTTTTCTACCTTTTTCTACCTTTTTCTACCTTTTTTCTACCTTTTTCTACCTTTTTCTACCTTTTTCTACCTTTTTCTACATTTTTCTACCTTTTTCTACCTTTTTCTACCTTTTTCTACCTTTTTCTACCTTTTATTCGGTTGAGGTTTGTTTTTTTTTCTCTTTTTTTCCCCTTTCTACCGGCATGCTTGGGGGAAGGAAATGCTGCCCGATTTTCAGCCCCTCCCCCCCCCTCCCCTAGGCCATACGTTTAGGGCCTAGGGTTTAGGGCCTTAGGTCTAGGGCCTAGGGTTTGGGGCCTTAGGTTTAGGGTTTAGGGCCTTGCGTTTAGGGCCTTGGGTTTAGGGCCTAGGGTTTAGGGCCTAGGGTTTGGGGCCTTAGGTTTAGGGCCTAGGGTTTAGGGCCTTAGGTTTATGGCCTAGGGTTTGGGGCCTTAGGTTTAGGGCCTAGGGTTTGGGGCCTTAGGTTTAGTGCCTAGGGTTTAGGGCCTTGCGTTTAGGGCCTTGGGTTTAGGGCCTAGGGTTTAGGGCCTAGGGTTTGGGGCCTTAGGTTTAGGGCCTAGGGTTTAGGGCCTTAGGTTTAGGGCCTAGGGTTTAGGGCCTTGCGTTTAGGGCCTTGGGTTTAGGGCCTAGGGTTTAGGGCCTAGGGTTTGGGGCCTTAGGTTTAGGGCCTAGGGTTTAGGGCCTTAGGTTTAGGGCCTAGGGTTTGGGGCCTTAGGTTTAGGGCCTAGGGTTTGGGGCCTTAGGTTTAGTGCCTAGGGTTTAGGGCCTTACGTTTAGGGCCTAGGGTTTAGGGCCTAGGGTTTGGGGCCTTAGGTTTAGGGCCTAGGGTTTAGGGCCTTAGGTTTAGGGCCTAGGGTTTGGGGCCTTAGGTTTAGGGCCTAGGGTTTGGGGGCCTAGGGTTTAGGGCCTTACGTTTAGGGCCTAGGGTTTAGGGCCTTAGGTTTAGGGCCTAGGGTTTAGATGTATGTATATACGTGTGTATGTATGTATGTTTGTATGTATGCATGTATATGTATGTATGTATGTATGTATGTACATGTGTGTGTGGGTGTGCAGGTGTGTATGTTCGTATGTGTAGGTGTTTATGTGTGTGTGTGTGTGTGTCTGTGTGTGTATGCATGTGCTTATGTATGTATGCATGTATGGATGTATCTGCCTATGTATGTATGTATATATGTATGTATGTACCTATGTATGTACTCATTTACACACACATACAAATGTATACATAATTGCGCATACGTATATACATGCATGTGTATATATTTATAGGTGCGTATATATAGATATATATGAAGATACACAAACATGTCTGTATATATATATATGTATACATGTCTGTATCTATATATATTGTTTGTGTATGTATATACATACACATGTATGTATATACGTGTGTGTCTACCTATATGTAATATCTGTAAACAGATATAAATATATGAAGAATCGCCATTAAGGTCATCACCAACCTCGCCATAATTATTAAAACCATCATCATGCTCGTCATAATTATCAAACCACCATCATCGTCTTCATAGCCCTAGTCTTCTTCGTAGAACCCAGGTTTTATAATCATCAACATCATCATCACATATCATCATACACATCGCCAACGACATATTCACAATCGTCATCATAATCAGCATCGGCCATCATCAGTCATCGTTGTTATCATCCACATAGAACGTCGTTATAGTCATCATCATAAACATCGAATCAACAATGAGATAGAAGCCAAGAAGCTGGAATAATTACCAGTACTTTTGCTCAGGGCTCAAGGCTCCTTGTTTTTACTGTTACACATCCCGGCGTTCACGGCTTTGAAACATGCGACAATAATCAACAACATGTTGTTACGAAACAGAGTCTACTTAATGTATTTCCGAACAGGGTGAGAATTGAAATTTCCTATAGGATTTGTGCTTGGAATCCAAGAAAAACAAGGGTGCGAATTGTAATTTCCCATAGGATATGTATTTCCGAACAGGGTGCGAATTGTAATTTCCCATAGGATTTGTGCTTGGAATCCAAGAAAAACAAGGGTGCGAATTGTAATTTCCCATAGGATATGTATTTCCGAACAGGGTGCGAATTGTCATTTCCCATAGGATTTGTGCTTGGAATCCAAGAAAAACAAGGCTGCGAATTGTAATTTCCCATAGGATATGTATTTCCGAACAAGGTGCGAATTGTAATTTCCCATAGGATTTGTGCTTGGAATCCAAGAAAAACAAGGGTGCGAATTGTAATTTCCCATAGGATATGTATTTCCGAACAGGGTGCGAATTGTAATTTCCCATAGGATTTGTGCTTGGAATCCAAGAAAAACAACGGTGCGAATTGTAATTTCCCATAGGATATGTATTTCCGAACAGGGTGCGAATTGTCATTTCCCATAGGATTTGTGCTTGGAGTCCAAGAAAAACAAGGCTGCGAATTGTAATTTCCCATAGGATATGTATTTCCGAACAGGGTGCGAATTGTAATTTCCCATAGGATTTGTGCTTGGAATCCAAGAAAAACAAGGGTGCGAATTGTAATTTCCCATAGGATGCTGTACCTGGATGCCAAGAAACAGAGTCTACTTAATGTATTTCCGAACAGGGTGCGAATTGTAATTTCCCATAGGATTTGTACTTGGAATCCAAGAAACACAAGCGCTAATCAGGGTGCGAGCGGGTGCGAATTGTAATTTCCCATAGGATATGTATTTCCGAACAGGGTGCGAATTGTAATTTCCCATAGGATTTGTGCTTGGAATCCAAGAAAAACAAGGGTGCGAATTGTAATTTCCCATAGGATGCTGTACCTGGATGCCAAGAAACAGAGTCTACTTAATGTATTTCCGAACAGGGTGCGAATTGTAATTTCCCATAGGATTTGTGCTTGGAATCCAAGAAAAACAAGGGTGCGAATTGTAATTTCCCATAGGATGCTGTACCTGGATGCCAAGAAACAGAGTCTACTTAATGTATTTCCGAACAGGGTGCGAATTGTAATTTCCCATAGGATTTGTGCTTGGAATCCAAGAAAAACAAGGGTGCGAATTGTAATTTCCCATAGGATATGTATTTCCGAACAGGGTGCGAATTGTAATTTCCCATAGGATTTGTGCTTGGAATCCAAGAAAAACAAGGGTGCGAATTGTAATTTCCCATAGGATATGTATTTCCGAACAGGGTGCGAATTGTAATTTCCCATAGGATTTGTGCTTGGAATCCAAGAAAAACAAGGGTGCGAATTGTAATTTCCCATAGGATATGTATTTCCGAACAGGGTGCGAATTGTAATTTCCCATAGGATTTGTGCTTGGAATCCAAGAAAAACAAGGTGCGAATTGTAATTTCCCATAGGATATGTATTTCCGAACAGGGTGCGAATTGTCATTTCCCATAGGATTTGTGCTTGGAATCCAAGAAAAACAAGGGTGCGAATTGTAATTTCCCATAGGATATGTATTTCCGAACAGGGTGCGAATTGTAATTTCCCATAGGATTTGTGCTTGGAATCCAAGAAAAACAAGGCTGCGAATTGTAATTTCCCATAGGATATGTATTTCCGAACAGGGTGCGAATTGTCATTTCCCATAGGATTTGTGCTTGGAGTCCAAGAAAAACAAGGCTGCGAATTGTAATTTCCGATAGGATATGTATTTCCGAACAGGGTGCGAATGTAATTTCCCATAGGATTTGTGCTTGGAATCCAAGAAAAACAAGGGTGCGAATTGTAATTTCCCATAGGATGCTGTACCTGGATGCCAAGAAACAGAGTCTACTTAATGTATTTCCGAACAGGGTGCGAATTGTAATTTCCCATAGGATTTGTACTTGGAATCCAAGAAACACAAGCGCTAATCAGGGTGCGAGCGGGTGCGAATTGTAATTTCCCATAGGATATGTATTTCCGAACAGGGTGCGAATTGTAATTTCCCATAGGATTTGTGCTTGGAATCCAAGAAAAACAAGGGTGCGAATTGTAATTTCCCATAGGATGCTGTACCTGGATGCCAAGAAACAGAGTCTACTTAATGTATTTCCGAACAGGGTGCGAATTGTAATTTCCCATAGGATTTGTGCTTGGAATCCAAGAAAAACAAGGGTGCGAATTGTAATTTCCCATAGGATGCTGTACCTGGATGCCAAGAAACAGAGTTTTAATGTATTTCCGAACAGGGTGCGAATTGTAATTTCCCATAGGATTTGTGCTTGGAATCCAAGAAAAACAAGGGTGCGAATTGTAATTTCCCATAGGATATGTATTTCCGAACAGGGTGCGAATTGTAATTTCCCATAGGATTTGTGCTTGGAATCCAAGAAAAACAAGGGTGCGAATTGTAATTTCCCATAGGATATGTATTTCCGAACAGGGTGCGAATTGTAATTTCCCATAGGATTTGTGCTTGGAATCCAAGAAAAACAACGGTGCGAATTGTAATTTCCTATAGGATATGTATTTCCGAACAGGGTGCGAGCTGGCGGTTTCAGCTGGGGGAAACAAGCAGAAGTCTAGAAAAGTGTTTGAATTCTCCGCAGATACAACGAAGAATTTCGAAGAATTTCGAAGATTTACGAAGATCTAAGAGGAATGGTCTAGAAAAGTGTTTGAAGTTCTCCGCAGATACAACGAAGAATTTGGAATAATTTCGAAGAATTTCGAAGATTTACGAAGATCTGAGAAGAATGGTCTAGAAAAGTGTTTGGAGTTCTCCGCAGATACAACGAATAATTTGGAATATTTTGGAATAATTTCGAATAATTTCGAATAGTTTCGAATAATTTCGAAGATTTACGAAGATCTAAGAATAATGGTGAAGAACCTGGAAGAATGAAGAATATTATGGAAGTTTACCGAAGAAAACTGAATATTTCCGAATATTTAAGCAGAAATGCAAACATTTCTGAATATTGTTGAATAGGGTTAAACACACTGAGAAGTACCCTTCTGAGAACCCTCCCTATCCTCATAGAAGATAAACCCTAAACCCTAAACCCCTCAAATCTACATTCCAACTCTCCGACCTCGGACCCAAGACTAAAACCCTAAACTCTGAGGCCTAAACCCTATACGGTGAAGCGCGCACTTGCATCCCCTTGCGTCCTTGCGTAGGTGGCGACGGACTTCGACGGGCCGCTTCTTCAGAGGTGGACAGTTGCTGGAAAACTGAAACTTCATGTTTTCATTTTCGGGCCTGCTTCGCCTGAAGCCTAAAGGGCTTAAAGTATGATAATGTCAAGCGTGCGTAGCAGGCAGCCCACTCCAAGACCGAGACGAGGACCCTAGGCTGTTGGATTTCTTTCTTGGAGGATCATGGGACTTAGTAAGTGGGGTTATAAGTACCTTAACTGGGGTTATAAGTAGATATAACTATAGTTACCTCACTTGTACGCCTACTGACTAAGTCCCATGGTCCTCTAAGCTGAGTCGACAAGGACCCGAAGAGCTCCGAACGAAACGAACCTCAGTACGAGTTGGGCTTGCGGTGGGGCTGTCTGGCAGACATTAAGCATACATGCCCCAAATCGACCCTTCCAAAGAACCGCCCGGGGGTGTCAGGGTTTAAGGTTCAAGGGTTTAGGGTTTAGGGGTTAGAGTTTAGCGGTTTAGGGTGGTGTCTGGTTCTTATATAATCCCCAATGATAGTCTCCATAATCCATTCCCCCAGTTCCTTCTAAGAACCAGACAGAAGAAACACCAGAAAGTGTTAGGGTTCCTTTGAAGTTAAAGGGGAAACCTAAGGGGTTTTAGGGTTCCTTGAAGTTAAAGGGGAAAAACCAAGAGGGTTTACGCCCGAGCTGGTATTTAGGGTTTGGGGTTTAGGGGTTTGGGGTTTAGGGTTTTCTGGTCTTTGCATCTCAGGAATCTACGGCTTCGAGTTGCGAACTACAGCTTCAATGATTCAAAGCAAACCACAGACACAGTCACACACATGCGCACATCACATGACCTACATCACATGACCCACACCAAACAAGCAACTGCCGAGCAGCTCAGTGCTTTCTCGTGGCAGATCTTCTTTGAGCACTGGGGACACGTCGATGCTGCGTGCAGGCAGTCTCTGTGAAACCTGCTGCGTGGGTTTACGCTAACCCCTTTTAAACCCCTTCAACCCGAAAAGCCCTAACCCGAAAGGCTTAGGAATGGGAGGCGTGGGGTTCGGGGATGCGGCAGTAGGTCTCAACAACGACTCAGGATTTAGGGTTGAGGGTTGAGTTCTCGTATCTTCAGCTGTGTGCCAAACTTCATGCATGTTGAGTCCGTAATTTTGCATCTGAGCTCGCGAAATGCATCGACTGGCCGCAGAGCAGTCTGCAATTCTGAACCCAATTGCCGGAAAGGCATCAGTGTTGAAGAGCACACTTGCCTGGAGGGTCATATCGAACCCATTTTTTCGGATACCCAATTTTAGGTGAGGATCTGCTATATAGACAATTAAGGTACCTTAAAAAAGGGGCAGGGTATGAACCTCTAGGTAATGCGCAAAGAGGTGTCGGACCTTCAAATCCAAGAAACTACGGTTGATGATATAAATCCTGCATTACCTTAAGGACCCTAAACTATGGGAATTATGGTATATTCCTTATTATGGGTCATGCAGGATTTATATCATCAACCGTAGGACACTTGACCCTCCATCCTCAATCCCATTGAAATTGAATTTCAAAGCCCCAATCCCTGAACCTCTGGACTCTGCGGTTAATCCTTCACGCCCAAACCCGAAACCCTAAAAAATAAAAGCTGCATCCCCCAAAAAATCCTAAAGATGTAGGGGCCTTAGCTATTGACCAGAATAGGGTTCTGGGATATACTGTACTGTGGTTAACAGGGGGCGCAAAGGAATTGTCCAGGTAATTATTTCATCGGCTGGCAGATCAACCTCTAAACACTGAACCTTAAACCCCAAATCGTAAACCAAAAACCTTGAAACCCTAAACCGTAAACTCAACACCCTAAGCTCTGTACCCTGAGCCCTAAACAAAACTCTCGGCCCAAAAACCTAAACCCTAAACATATACCATAAACCCTTACTTGGAGGGTCGGGGGACTTAGCAACTGGTTTTTTAGGGACTTATAAGTACCATAACCCCAATTAGGGTCCCTTTTAGGGTACTTATAAGTCTACTTACTACCTACTTACTAAGTCCCCCGCCCCTCCAAGTAACCCGACAAACCAAGCCCGAAACCCCAAATCCCCACAGTCTGACCGGCCACCAACAGGCACGTGGTTGTACCATAACATACTCATATTCCGCTTACTAAACCCCTAAAGCCCTAAACCTATACCCTAAACCCTAAACCCAACAAACCTTAAACCCTCAACCCTACCGCCCTAAACCCCTACCCCTCAAAACCCCTAAATCCTTAAACCCTTATCCCCAAAACCCCTAAACCCTGAACCCTCAACCCTAAACCCCAACCCCTAAACCCTTAAACCCTTAACCCTTAACCCTTAACCCCCAGACCCTAAACCCAAACACCCACACCCTAAACTTCGCCAAGAGGCACGTGGTTGCAAGTGTTGGCCACGAGAGGTCCGGAAAGCGTCTGCCGGCAGCCCGAACAGAGAGCTCTCAGCTCCGCCATGCTTCGAAAGCTACGTGCTGCAAGGCGGTTTAAAGGGAACTCCAGAAAGTTGGAATATGGTTTCAGGGTAGGATACCCTATAATTTACCATAAAGGGTTTAGGATAATCATATTCCAACTTTCTGGCTTTTACCTTAATGCGATTTGTGAATGTTAGTGCGCTCGAGACTCTCCTTCAAGCGGTATATGGGGTAACGTCGTATACGCACCGCATTCATTGCTCCGATTCGTCTTAGTTGCGTGTCATGAATGCTAACCGCTGAAGTTTCCGTCTAAGCCTCAGAATGTGCGGGGATGCGACTCCATCATCTGCGCCGGCTCACATTAAAGGGCAGGGTTCGCGATCTTAGGAACCCAGAAATTCCTATGTCTGCTCAGCAGGAATCACTGCTTAAGTTATAGTTGGGATCCTGGAAGGACCCGAAAACGCGGAGAATTGGAATCTCCGAAAAGGCCTGAACCATGAATCGAACGTGCATTAGATTTCAGAAGGATCTGAATTACGCCCGTCAAGCTGTGTAGTTTTTCCCTAAACCCTAAACCTCCAGAGCCATCGACCCCCAACCCAAAACTTCGCACAGCAGACTCGAAGTGCTGCGCCCCAAGTCCGAGTTGTCCAACAAATTCCCTCAGAACCCTAAACTCCCAATACCCTACCTGCTAGGGTTCCTTATTATGGTTTCTATATATAGTTCCTGAAAAAGGTGGGTCTTTTCTCTTTTCGGCTACAGGTATACCCTAAACCCTTTCTCCAACAACTAACCCTAAAACCCTAAACCCTTTCTCCAACAACTAACCCTAAAACCCCAAACCCTTTCTCCAACAACTGCCCCAACGTTGGACAGACTGGCCCTGGCCCCACCACAAGCCTTCGGCTCTGTGAGGGTGCTTGAGCGTTTAAGGTTGAGGAGTTTAGGGTTCAGGCGTTTAGGGGTTTAGGGATTTAGGGTTTTAGAGTTTTAGGGCTTATTGTATGAGTCCGACATGGGCTCCACAAGGGTTCGGGCTACGACAAAGCTCTCAAGGACGGCTAAGGGTCCACCAATTTCAGTGTTAACGCTGAAGACGGAAGCCGGACAATAAAGATCTTGAACCCTCAACGCTGCCCTGCCCTGCCCTGCCCTCCAAAATCTCTCTGCGACTTCGACGCGAATCTTCAATCGTGCCACAACCCCAAACTCAGCAAACCCGTTCCGGCGCCCGAACCCCGTATTGTAACCCGTGTCGCAACCCTTACAGAGCCCTTATAGTCCTAAATCCTAGCCCCTAAACCCTAAACCCCTAAACCATATGTACCCTATGCACCATAAACCCTATGTACCCTAAACCTAAACCCCTGAACCCTAAAACCCTATATTCCCTAAACCCTAAACGCCTAAACCCTAAAACCTCTATACCCGAAACCCCTATACCCTAAACCCTATACCCTAAACCCTCAACCCCCATAGGGTAAAAGCCAGAAAGTTGGAATATGATTATCCTAACCCTTCTATGGCAAATTATAGGGTATCCTACTATGAAACCATATTCTAACTTTCTGGAGTTCCCTGTAGTACCCTTCTACCACGGATGCTCTTAGCCACGCTTGGGCCCCGGCGCAAGGCTCGGCTGCATCCTTGGCCTCGGAGCATCCATGAAGGGATAGCGATGGGCCTTTAAGGGCTACTATAAGGGATCTGTAAGGGTACTATAAGGGATCTATCAGGGTACTATGGGTCTATAAGGGATATCATTGAGGTTTAAGGTTTGCGGTTTGGGGCTTTAGGGTTTAGGGCTTTAAAAAAGGGGCCTTTAACTGTTTGGTTCTAGAAGGGAATGGGGGAATGGATCCCTATAGTATCCCCTATATATTCCCCAACTGTGTTCCCTACAGACAGTTAAGAGCTACTATAAGGGATCTATAAGCGTAGTATGGGGTTCCTTTAAAGGGATCCCATAAAGGCTACTATACGGGGTATTCTAAGGATTTAGTACACAGGCCTTAATAATCAGAATAGGGTGTAGGGTTCATAGGGGTGTAGAGTTTAGGGTATAAAGGGGCCTTAATAATTAGAATAGGGTTCCTTGAAAGGGTCGATAAGGGCTACTATAAGGGATCTACAAGTTACTATGAAATATAGGCCCCTATAGTGGCGCGTTTCTCTTAAGCTTTCCGGAAACCGAATAGATTCTCAGCCTCTCCTTCTACTGACGATGACTATGATGAGTCAAAGATGATGATAATGATAATACTGATGACAATGATGACGCATGATGATGATGATAATGATGATGACAGAAGCAGCAGCAGCAGCAGCAGCAGCCGTCAGCGGCAGCACCGCTACCACCGCTAGCATGACCAGGATCGCCATGCTCAACTTCAAGGATCATGGGACTTAGTAACTAGGCTTATAAGTAAGGCAACTATGGTTATATCTACTTATAACCCCAATTAAGGTACGTATAACCCTACTTACTAAGTCCCATGATCCTCCAAGTACATACATGTCCCTAAACCCCAAACCCTATAGATCCCTGTAAGGAACCCTATACCCTTTAAGGGGCCCTTACTAAGTCCCAGGATCCTCCAAGAACATTCATTTCATGAAGATGACATCGGCCTCCCCTGCGAGGATCAGCACTTTCACCTAAGAGCCTCGCGAGCTTTGCTATCTCCTTCGGTTGATGATATAAATCCTGCATTACCTTAAGGACCCTAAACTATGGGAACTATGGTATATTCCTTATTATGGATAATGCAGGATTTATATCATCAACCGTTGCAAGCTCCGAGGGCATGGAGGGCTCGTGTTTTGAAGCTTGCATCTCGGTTTAGGGTTTTAGGGGTTTAGGGGTTTAGGGGTTTAGGGTTTAGGGGAGATCGATGAGTGATTCGTGTACCGTATGTTGGGTCCTTGCCTGAAGAAGTCTCGCTCCCTTTGCTAGCAACTTTTTGGCCGCATACTATTGGAAGGAAGCCAGTCAGGTTTATAGCAGTTGGCCACGGGGCGTTACAAATCATTTCACGGAGTGGCTGTACAGATCCGAGAAAGTTTAAAACTGGCCCTCCACTCCAGGGTGGCAGAGTTTCAAACCAGGGCTTCGCACATCATGCACAAACCCTTTTGGAAGTGGATCCTCGTACCACCTGTGCGCCACGCACCATCATTCGTGTCCGAACATGCTACATAATTTGGGTGATGGGGCTTTGCGGTGGATTATGCCAGAGTTACTATAGTCAGAATAAGGAACCCCAAATAACCTTAGTAATTATTTAGGCGCCTATATGAAGCTCATGAAGATAAGACCAAGCCTTTGCTGATGGTCGCAGTGTCAGAAACAGTATCAACATGGCTACTGCATCCGTTGTCCGTATCAGCATTACCACTCAGACTTTGACAGCTTTGTGCTGTGGAAGGCTTTAAACTTTAAACTGACGTTCGAACCCCCCAAACCCTACCCCTCAATCCCTACATGCTAACTCGTAAAACGTCGTACACCCTCAACCACAAAGCCTCCGAGACACTTGCAGGGGCCTCCGAGACACTTGCAGGGGCTCAAGACGGCCACTCGGCTCCTTTCGCTCGCCCTGTTGCAACAAGGCGCCTCCAGCCGAAATTTGCCCCGAAACCCACAAATCTTGACCATGACAGGCGAGAATCAAAACAAAGACAACAGACTAGCTACTGTAACCGAACGAGCCTTCATCAAACGTCCGTCATCAAACACCCACAACATCCCTGCAACCCTAGGACGCTTGGGGTCTCTTGAAGCTCAAGCTCCGTGGCGTGGCGCACAACTGCAAAACTGGGAGGCTGCAACCCGGAAGATCTCGCGAGCACTCGGACACTTGTACCACTGTGTCATCACCCATTCCACCCCCGCGTTACAAATGATGAGGATGCTGGGCACGGGCATGGTGGCTGTAGGGGTACTCTCTACAACTGTACTTGGAGGTTCATGGGTAGCTATAAGTAGGGGTATATTGAGGATAACCCTACTTATAACCCAGATTAGGGTATAGATCCCTTTACAGGAACCCCACTTATAACTACCCCTGAACCTCCAACTATCAATGTCTGGGAGGAGGGCCTTTGTGGTGAAAGGTGATCGGCACAGCTGTGCGGTGCAATCTCGGGGTATCGACACGGAGGAGTCGGCCAGCAACCAAGACAGGAACCCAAAGAGCCCAATACCCCCTTAATTAAGGAATATACCTTATTATAAAGGGGTTCATGTTATGATTTACGGCATATTCCTTGATTAAGGGGTATTGGGTTCTCTCTCTGGGAGTCTCGGCTGCATATTTCAGGCCACTCCGAAGATTGAAATCACTCCTCAAAACTCAGAAACCAATATTGACAAAGCACTGTTCTCCTCAGGGCTTGCCCAGGTCTCATCTGCAGGCGAAAAACTGCCTGCAGCGCAAAATGCTGCCTGTGCCGTGAAGCCGTCGGCCTCATCGCGACCACTGATTCCCTTTACTTTTTGTGCTGATCTCATCGAGTCGCGTCGGCAAGGGCATTTTGCAGAGTGTCTGGGCAAGTGGGCGGAAGATGCGGTCGCTGAACCAACCCACGGTGAACCACGTCAGCCTGCATCCCAGGACGTGCAACCGTGGGCGGCGAATTTGCTCAGCAACGGCAGCCGCTAGGTGCTTTGTGGAGCTGTCTATAGCCTCGGGAAGAGTTCCGGCTGGGACGAGCCATCCGAAGCAGGCATGCATGCCCTCAAAAGCGGCCGGGTGCCTACTGACAGCGTAGGCCGACAGCCGACGACACAGAAAAACAGAAAACAAAACTTGTGATTCCATTTCTTAGTTCACGGACGCTCACATCCTTCCGAAATCAAAAGCCTCCGTTCTGCGATCTACCCAAAATTTCCACTACAAGGGAATCTGCCAGCAGCTGCTGTGCAAAGTCACCTCTCAAACTTCGAGAGCCCTAGCTACCACACTGAGAAAACAAGTACATAGTCTAGGACAGAGTCTAGGCCCTAAACACTGGCTCTGTCACATTGTGAATACTACTGTTATGGTGCTTCTTGCCACGCCTGGTATCAGGCTCAATACTCTGTGCACACTCTGACCACGAAGTTGGACGCATTTGCGGAGGCGGCTTTCGCGGGAAGAGGCAGCGGCTGAATGCAGCGGAGAAGTGGCAGATTGAGCATCAGAGGCAGTCGGAACCCCTCGTGAAGGGCGCGCAGGGAGTTCGAGGATAGGACTACTGCTGTCACTCGTCCCATGCGGCTCTCACGAAGGACTACAAATCGAATTCTGCACAAATTCATGTGAATCCTAGCAAGCCAGTGTTCAGTTTGTTCAAGCCGTCGTTTCATGGGCCCCCTGGCTCTGGCAGAAGCCGGAAACACCTTTGAGTCAAACAAGTAAAGCGATCATGACTGAGTAGGGTTTAGTGGTTTCGGGTAGAAACACTACTCTAGGGGCCTGAATCATTAGAATAGGGTTTTCGGGCCCACTAAACAATAGTCATATTAAGGAACCCCCAAAATAGTATTGGTAATTATTTAAGCCCCTATATTAGCAGCCCCACACCAGCAGTAGCAGCGACAACACGATGACAAGCTAACAGAACCCATCAGCCGCACGAGCAAACCATTATAGGGGCCATACACAATTACAGTAGGGCTTGTGGGTTTATCATACTGTAAGGACTCGAAAGGGAACCCTAAACCCTAAACCCCCTAAACCCTAAACCCCCAAACCCTCAAACCCCCAAACCCCTAAACGCCCCAAACCCCCCAAACCCCCAAACCCCTAAACCCCAAACCCTCCAACCCTCAAACCCAAAAAACCCTAAACCCCAAACCCCCAAACCCCTAAACCCTAAACCCTAAATTCTTCAACCCCCTGTGCTACCGGGTCGAGGTCTCGTCAGTCTCGGGGGTCACAAACCTACCATGAGGACGAAGCGCAGCAATGGCCGTAGTCGTAGTCGTAACGGTAGTAGCAGTCGTAGTAGTAGTGGTAGTAGTAGTAGTAGTAAGAGTAGTAAGAGTAGTAGTAGTAGTAGTAGTAGTAGTAGTAGTAGTAGTAGTAGTAGTAGTAGTAGTAGTAGTAGCAGTAGCAGTAGCAGTAGCAGTAGCAGTAGCAGTAGCAGTAGCAGTAGCAGTAGTAGCAGTAGTAGCAGTAGTAGCAGTAGTAGCAGTAGTAGCAGTAGTAGTAGTTGTTGTTGTAGTCATCATCGTCGTAGCAGTAGCAGTAGCACTGCAGATACCTGAGTCTCAACTCTATCGCCAAACCCTAAGCCTTGGGTCTCCGGGATGCCGCAGGAAAGGTCTCTCATTTGATCCTCTGCTCCCTGTCGAAATGCAGGGTTTGGAAGGATGGTGGCGCTGTTGACAACATTCCCCCAAGCCTGATATAGGGCCTTAATGGTTAGAATAGGATTCGGTTTAAAGGGGCCTAGAAGGGATCGGTTTAAAGGGGCCTAGAAGGGATCTACAATAGGGTTTTGGGCTCCTTAATATTATAACTATAAACGGAGTAATATTGGTAATTGCTTGAGCTTCTACATTCAGGGCTGAACGCGAGTGTCTGGCAATAGTGGAATCTGCATTTTCGAGGCTGCAGGTATAGAGTTTCGGGTTTGCTAAACCCTGAGCTTTCAAACCCAAGTCTCCAAACCCTAAACCCTAAACCCTAAACCTTAAACCCAAAAGGTCTAAACCTTAAACCCTAAACCCTAAACCCTAAACCCTAAACCCTAAACCTTAAACCCAAAAGGTCTAAAACCCTAGAGGAAGCACACCGAAACCCAAGGATCTCTCGACCTTTCGGGCCTGAGGTCCCCTTTCTTCTCTGACGGAGCAGGGGGAAGGGTTTAGGGGTTTAGGGGTTTAGGGGTTTAGGGTTTAGGGGTTTAGGGGTTTGAGGGTTTAGGGTTTAGGGGTTTAGGGGTTTGAGGGGTTTAGGGTTTAGGGTTTAGGGGTTAGGGTTTAGGGGATGTATAGGTTATTAAGGTGTAGCTGACTCAGGGTTTACTGTAGGGTTTCTACAAGGTTTCCAGAAGTGTTGCTCTAAGTGGGTTACTACAAAGGTTCTATAAGGGTTCGCTAACAGGATCTGCAGTGTAGGAGTGGAGAGCATTCCAAGGGGCTCGGTAATCATCAATCGCGTGATAATGGAAGGCAGTCACAACATGCCCCGAAGCATCTTCGTCAAGCGCTTCGATTTGGTTTGCTCTACTTAGTTGCTGAGCTCATAAGCCCCAAAAAGTGCAAACTTTCAGTTTTCTAGTGGGTAATATTATCCCACAAAGTGTAAAGTGCATCCACTCAGCTCCTAAGCCTATAAGAGTTTGGGGTTTATGGCTTCGAGCTATGACATGAAAACCTGGAACCCAAGACAACAAGCACCCTGGAAAGTAGATCCCCTAATTTGGGGCGCTATACTACTAAGGGTACTTTACAGGAACCCCCCTTAACGGATCTACTTTTTGGATCCTCTCGGGGGTCTGGTGAGTCATGTCGATGTTCGTCTTTGGTCCAAGAGTACTATTCAGACAGTCACAAATGCTACGAGTTGCGTTGTTTACACGGTTTTGGAATTCGGGACAGGGTTTGGCATTTGAGAGATGTGGGGTTTCAGTCTGGGTTTGGGATTTTTGGGTTGAATGGTCATAGCACGGGGCCACACGCAAACCAAGCACAGCAAGCCAGACAAATCCTAAAACCCCTAAACCCTGAACCCAGAACTCCAAAGCGCGCGTGAACCACTCGCAACGCCCAGATCGGCATGGAAAGAAGGGGAGCCTACTTGTAACTGCCCTAAACCCTAATCCCTAAACCCTACAGATCCCTTTAAAGGAACTCTACTTATAACTACCCATGAAGCTCCAAGTAGTTCAAAGCTTTGAGCTTCGGGTTTTACGGTTTATGCTTTCGGGTTCAATCCTTCGCGACTTCGGGTGTTGAGTTTAGAGGTTTAGGGCTTTGGGTACGGCGCCCATACAGTAACAGTCTACAATACGAGGATACCCAGTAACCTAAGAACAAAAAGGCCTCTCTTTTTGGTACTGGGTAACTTTATAAGGAACCTAGGACTACAAAAAGGGAATAAGCGTGCTACTGGGCATCCTAGAATAGGGCTACTATTAAGGGCCTTATATATCTATATTATGAATCTTATCGAACTGTTGCTGAGCGGGGGCCGTACCCAATTAGGGCTTACGGTTTCAGAGTTTAGGGGTTTTGGAGCTTGGGGTTTTGGGGGTTTTGGGTTTAGGGGCTTAGAGTTTATGGTTTAGGGCTTAGGGGTTTAGGGGTTAGGGGTTTAGGGTTTGCCTAAGCCCTCAAGTTTTCAAGACACCACAGAAGCTGTTGTCAACAACAGACCCGGGTCGAGTCACCACCTGGCAGAGGAAAAGCACTTCAAATCATTAAACCGATGTCCATCCCTCACAGAGAAGGACCGCCTTTCATGTGCTAGCTATCCTTGAACCCACGAGCCAGGAAAGAAACAGCAAGAAAGATGATACTGTACAGCCAGGCTTCGGGGGGGCTTCTGCAGACGGCTGCTAGGGTGAGCCATCTATGGAAAGGAACTGCGTGCAAGATGGCTGGTGCATCTCAGTTTGGAAGATCATACTGACAGTGGCACCAGATGAAGGTTTCAACGGATGGCAACATAATCCTGTTTTGTATGCTCAAGGTTCGTAGCGTAACAGAGAACCACTCGTGTGGGTTACGGGTCAAGCCCTGTAGATGGCAAACAGCTTGGCTGCTGGCCGGGCGAGAAAAAGGGGTGAAATTATGGGAAGGGTGCAGAAGTGAACAAATGCCTTTGCTCACATCTCCTGGTCTCGCGCGCTGACATGTGGTAAGTTGCCGGAGTCTCCAATCAAGAACAGAAGAGAAGCCTGCAGCTCCCTCACACTATGGCTTTCGATCATATCCTCAAAATCCTAAGCAAGCTAAGGAGTCCACGAACTCCCTGTTAGGGAGCGGCAGCGGAACGGCCTTCAGCCAACCTCCGATACTTACCATCACATCATCGTAGCTTTCCTGATGGCTTCTAGGTGAACTCTGCTATTGGCCCAATACTGGCATACTACAAATAGCAGCCAGGTTCACGTGGGCGGCAGCGAACTGCCAACTTCAAAGATAATTTTGCTTGGTCCTGGACAGACTTCGATACAGGTTCCGGACTGAATCTGCATGTGTCCTCAACCCTAAACCCTAAACCCTGAATCCTAAACGCTAAACCCTAAACCCCTAAACCCTAAACCCAAAATCTGAACTAGGGCTTTGAGGTATCTTTCTTTTGCGAGGCTGAGGGCTCGAAACGCGCTAGCATTGGGGGTGCATTCTACAATAGGGTTTAGGGTTTAGGGTTTAAGTACGGACCGCCAATGGAATGACAGTGGAAGTTGTTCAGGCCTCTTTGCTAAACTCCCCTAATACTAAAGCTCCCAACCCTGGCATGAGGCACCCGACTCTCCACCCTCACCAGCAGATTTAGGTTGTCTTACCTTTGGTCAGTAGGGAATGGAAGAATGTTAGTAACAGTAGTTACAATTGTTCCGCATTCGTCCATTCCCTACTAACCAAAGGTAAGTTTTAGGGTTTAGGGTTTAGGCCTTAGTTGGGGTCTAGGATCTGGCTTTTAATGAATAGGGCTTTGGATCTGCGGCTTCAGTTTCGGGATTGATTCCAGGATTAGGATCCAGGGTGTAGGGTACCGGTTTGGGGATCGAGTTCTTCCGCGTTTATAGCGCTCACGGTGTTGAGTCTACTTGGAGATTCAGGGGTAGTTATAAGTGGGTTATGAGTCCCCTAATATGGGTTATAAGTCCCCTAATATGGGTTAAAAGTGTAGTTACTCTACTTATAACTACGCTAAACCCTAATCCCTAATCCATAAACCCTATAAACCCAGTAGATATATCCGCCGAGGCCACAGGCGCAGGCGTCTTGGGGGTTAGCTCAGGTTCCCTCCACCTAATCCTACTCCCTCCCGTCCAAATGTTTGGGGACACCCGCTTTTTGCGTTCGTTTGCCACCCCCTTGCCCGGCTTCCCCTCATTTTACCTGATTTGTCGGCCTCCCCCCCCCTTCCCAGGCCTCCCCCCCCCTCCCCCCTCTCCCCCCCGCCCCCCCCTCCCCTACCCATTCCTCGCACTTCGTATCAACAACGGGTTTGACAGGCCGCCCTAGCATAAAAAACATCGACTGCCCCCTCACCCTGCCGCTACACAGCCGAGGCGGGCGGCGTAGCGTTAAAATTAAGAAGAACCCTACTTATAACTACCCATGAACCTCCAAGTAGGGTTTCGGGTCTAGGATCTGGCCTTTTGGGGCTTAGGGTTTAGGGTTTAGAGTTTAGGGTTTAGGATCGACGGGTTCTGTTCTCTGGGGATTAGACTACCTTAGCCTACCAAAACATACTTTTTTGTAGGGTCCCTTTCAATTTCATATCAGGGTTTCATAATAAGAAACTACAAAAGAGGTAGGGTTTAGTAGTTTAAGGTAGAAGCAAGGTGTTAGGTGTCAACAGACTTTGCGACCCCACGATAAACCCTGAACCGGAGGTTAGACCATTAGCTGAACAGTTTGTAAGAGGCTCGTGTGCTACTTCCAACCCATAACCGATTTGCGTTTGCCTGATCGGTGGTGGCGGGCGAAAGGCAGGTTTTAGTAAACCGATCTGAATTCCAATTTGTATGTTGCTTGTGCTGAACTCCCGCACTGGTGCACATCAAGGTTTAGGGTTTACCATAACAGGGATACATTCAGTATCGTTGTCTTGCTTGTTGAGGTATCTAAAATCTAGGTAAACTCCTGAACGAGAAGGCGAGAACCCGACAGTTTCGAATTCGACCCACCACGCCCATGCCAGTCCTCTGTACTGCTCAGAGGCGTCGAGCGTGTACCCTGAATCAAAAGTCTCCTCCTTGTCATCTGTGTCTAGAGGCCTGCACAAACACGGCTTTCAGTTCAATCCCTAAACCCTTAACCCTAAACCCTAAACCCTCAAACTCAGCTCGGGGGTTAGCGGCGTTGAGAGCTTAAGGGGGCCTTGGGGTGGTGAAGCCCTTGAGGGGCTTCACGGGTAGTTATAGGTAGGGTTATAAGTCTAATAACTATACTTTTAACCCACATTAGGGGACTTATAACCCTACTTATGACGACCCCTGCACCTCCAAGAGAGCTCGAAGATCCTGGGCCTCACTCATCTACGGAAGCGGCAGAACCGTGGATCATCACGGTTTAGGGTTTAGGGTTTCTTCCAAAAGACGCAGCTGCGGAATACGCACCTAATATACTTACACACCGGCGGACACGACACTTTGAATACCGAACCAGAAGCCTGCGACCTCACACCCTTCTTCAACGCCCAAGAAACGCTTAATTCGAAGCACTTCAACACGCCCCAGACCCGAGAAATTGAGAACTTAAACACCGATGTCATCCTAAACCTTAAACCCAAACCCTGCACCCTACACCCTAAACCCAAACCCTAAACCCAAACCCTAAACCCTAAACCCAAGCCCCAGTCATCCTCATCATTATCTGGGGGTACGATGGACCAGGTAATGAGTCGAAAGCTTTCCTGCTGACCCTATCCCTGCCCACCACCTCCACCTCCTCCTAATGTAGTTTAGGGGCTTAGGGGCTTAGGGTTTTGGGTTTAGGGTTTAGAGGTTTTAGAGGTTTAGGGTTTTGGGTTTAGGGTTTAGAGGTTTTAGAGGTTTAGGGTTTAGGGTTTAGGGTCTAGCGTTTAGGATTTAGGGCTTAGGGAGCTTAATAAGTAGAATAGGGTCCTGGGGGCTCCTGATGATAGTTATAGTATAATAGACCCCAAAACCCTGTTTTAATTAATGAGCTTCCTACGTTACTCCTACCCCGACTGCTGCTCGCCGAAATGGACTTATAATATCGCATAGTGAATTAGCACGTGGCAGTGCATGATGTTATATTACAGGTTTATGGTTTAGGGTACTATAGCATACTACAGTATCTTAGTTCGAGGAATCGGTTTGATGGCATAGCTTACTCCTTGACAGTACCGTCCTGATGTTCCCTAGTGTTAAAGTGCCACAAACCCACGGCCCCTAAACCCTAGACCCTGGACTCTGAGCCCCACTAGCCAAACCCTACACCCCAAACCCTAACCCTAAACCTCAAGCACTAAACCCAAAATCCTAAACCTTAACGTCCAAACCTCAATCCCTGAACCTAGGGACCGAAACACCTGAACCGCGGCTGTCCCAAGCCGCGGGTCTTACGATAGGAACATGAATAAGAAGCCCTGGGTTATTTGGTCGAACTCGGAGGGTTCCCTCTATAAGGGTCTGGGAGTTTAGTAAAGGAGCCTGATTCAGAAACCCTGGGTCTTGGTTAGGGTCTCTTACATGACTGCCCATATATTGGGGTTATAGTGACATGGTTTCTTCATCAGGTTCCTACATTACATGGAATCTCAAGCCGCCAGACGGAGCCCTTCCGAAGCAATCCTTGCAGAAGAGTAGATTGGAACACAGTGTGTTAGAGTACACTACGGTGGAGTATAGTCTGTCTGGCTCTTAGTAGGGAATTGGGGAATGGATTATGGAGAGTATTATTGGGGATTACACAGGGTTATAGAGGCTACTATAGGGATCCGTTCCCCCATTCCCTACTTTAAACCCCTAACCCCAAACCCTAAACCTCATAATACCCCTTAGAGCCCCATAGTGCCCCTTAGAGCCCCATAATACCCCTTAGAGCCCCATAATACCCCTTAGAGCCCCATAAGAGTACCCCTTAGAGCCCCATACCCCTTAGAGCCCCATAGTACCCTTATAGATCCCTTATAGTAGGCCTTTAAGACAGGAGTCGGGCTGAGGGGTTTGGGGCTTCTGGGCTTCCGGGGGGTTTCCGGGGCCGAGACTTTCAGGGCTTGGAGGTTGGGGCCAAGAGTTAGAAAGGGGTTCCTTTAAAGGGGTCTATGAGGGCTACTACAAGGGGCTACTACAAGGGCTACTACAAGGATTTAGTATAAGGGCCAAGAAGGAACCCCGGGCCCTAAAAAATAGCATGGGGTTTGGGGCCCATTATAGTAAAAATAGAAGAAGGAACCCCCAAAATTGTATAGGTATTCATTAGGGTCTCTATGTTAGGGGTTTGGGACCCATTGTACTATAAATAGAAGAAGGAACCCCCAAAATTGTATGGGTAATTAAGGCCTCTATATTAAATTCTTCTAACAGACCTTGTAATTGCCCTTATAGACCCCTTGAAAGAAACCCTTATAGAACCCCGGCCTCTATGTTAGGGGTTTGCGGCTCGGGGGTTCGAGGTTGGGATCTTCGGGCAGCACGCCTCCGTTCACGAGAAGTTCGAACGCCACGGGCCTTGGCTTGCGAACCCTCCGGCCATGTTTGGGGCCGGGGGCCTAGATGGGGGGGGGGTGATCGACGACTGAGAGTCTTGTCATGATTCCTTGCGTCTTCGCCAGAACCTTTGGTACTAAGTGCTGCTGCTTCTGCATTTCAATGCCTTTATATCCGTGCTTGAACTTACCTCTGCTGCTACGCCTATCATTGCTGCTGCTTCAATGCTTGAGCTTCTCACAAAAGTTACGAGTGCACGATCAACACAAATTCTAGCACAGTTAACCCTAAACCCTAAACCCAAAAACCTGAAACCCAACCCTGAACCCCAAGCCCAAAAAATACAGTTTGCTAGAAAACCACCAGCCTCCGACACCTCTAAACCCTTCTAAGGTCGGAATGACCCCGAAACCGAGACCCGAAAGCCACTCGACACCCCTAAAACCCACTACCCCTAAACGCCTAGGCCCTAAATCCCGAATTAAAGCCTAAACCCCCCAACCCGAAACCCCCCCCCAAACCCTCAACCCTAAACCCCTAAACCCTAAATCCCGAATTGAAGCCTAAACCCCCAAATCCGAAACCCCCAACCCTAAACCCCTAAACCCTAAATCTAATTAAAGCCTAAACCCCCCCAAAATCCGAAACCCCCCCAAACCCCCAACCCGGACAAAACTCAGAAAGGTCCCGGCATGGTTGTCGTCTCGCGGCACGTCGGGTACGCCGGCCACGGAGCGTCCTTTAGTTTTTTTTTTTTTTTTTTTTTTGGGGGGGGGGGTTAGGGTTTAAGGGTTTGGGGGTTAGGGTTTAGGGTTTAGGAGTTTGGGGGTTGGGGGTTTTAAGGGGGTTTGGGGCGTAGCCTTGCTAGGGGTCACTGCGAGGGCTACTGCTGAAGGTTCTCGTTCAGGGTTCAGGGTGTAGGGCTCAGGGATAAGGGTTTAGGGTTTTAGGGTTTAGTTGAGGGTTCAGGTTTAGGGCTCGCGAAAGAATCCAGAGCGTGATCTCAGGTACCATGTAGCGGCAGCGACTGCAAAGAGAAGCGCACATTCTTAAGCGCCCTAAACCCTAAACCCTGAACCCCTTGAGTGTTCATAATCCCTCTGGCTTTCATTCAAGTAAACAGGAAACATGATTCCTAAGAGCACTAAAGCATTTAGCACAAAAATCAGATCCAATCCGGACGTCCTGCTGGCAATCCCGTTCCGGAATTTGTGCTTTGCTACATTTGGTAGGCTTGTGCCTATTGTGTGCTGTCTTTGTCTGGTCTTTCTTTTGGGAGTACGCTTGTTGTTTCTGTGCTGGTCTTTCGGGTGTTGCCTTTCTGAACGAAGCAGCTTACGTTTGGATCTCACAAGACACACCCTAATTGCATGGTTTGGAGGCTAGAGCTCAGGGTTTAGGGTTTAGGGTTGAGGGTAAACCATGAACAAGCGTCCTCATTGGGAAGGCACTCCGTTCCCTGCGACATGCCTGCGGCAGCAGAAACTTGTGCAGGGGGTTGAGCCTTGTTCATAGGGACCCAAAAAAGCGCATGAGCAGAAGCATCTTATGGTGATCTCAGTGATATCCCTACCTTATTGGCCTTCCTTTTAAGGGGGCTTATATGGGATATCCCTACCCTTCTTTTTGCTTATGTGCTTTTTTGGGGGGCCCGAGTTCAGAAAGTCTGGAGTCCAGCGGTCACCCTTCAGGGATCCAGCTGAAGGTTGTAAGCACGAACCCTGTTAGGGTTTAAGGTTTAGGGTTTAGGGTTTGCGGTTTAGGGTTTGGGGGTTTAGGGGTTTAGGGTTTAGGGTTTCGGTGTTTAGGGTTTAGGGGCTTCGGGTTTAGGGTCTACCCTCGAAAACTCAATTTCTAAACCCTTAACGGCTAAGGGTTTTAAGAAAAATGAGGGTCACCTCTGCAGGTGCTTCCCTTAAGCCTTACCGTTACGCTAGATCTGTACTCAACTCCCACATGGGTGGTTGTCGAAATTATGGCCCCTTTTTGGGTACCCTAAATAATAGGTGCCGTACTATAAAAGGGACCCAAAAAGGGACCCTAATTTTGACAACTACCCACATGTACTCGGGGAGAGGCAAAGCCAATAGCCCAAAGCCCTGGCTGTGTTCGTCACAAGCTCGCGAGGGCTCCGCCCGCAGCATCGTCGGTACGGCCATGGCTCAGGGTTGAGGGCTTACTTGGAGGTTCAGGGGTAGTTATAAGTAGGGTTACAAGTAAAGTAACTATACTTATAACCCATATTAGGGGACTTATAACCCCACTTATAACTACCCCTGAACCTCCAAGTAGGGTTTAGGGCTTGTCATCATCAGCTTCTTCAACTTCTCGTTGAATTTGCGTCTGCCGCTGTGCTTGGCTGACATGGGAGTTTCGGCGGACGGGGAGCCCGTTCAACATCATGCGAATCAGGGGCGTGCACCAAGACCCCTCTGGAACCTTCAAAAACACTGAATCGTCTTACTTAATGCCGGGGCTGTCATGCTAAATCAGGCCCCCGTTCAGCGTTTGCTGTTTAGGTAGAGTTATGTTGACCACGAAGCAGATCCCACCTCCCGGTGAGGAGCAGCGCGTCGAGCACACCGAGCTCGCCAGCCGAATCACGCCGCAGCCACGCTCACCTACAGCGGGGTTTAGGGTTTAGGGCTTAAGGTTTAGGGTTTTGGGTTTAGGGTTTATGCTACAAGCATCATGCAAGATAAAAACTGAAGGCTGCAGAAACGTAATGTGAGGTCTTACGCGGTCTATACGGCTTCTACCAGGCCGTACATGGCTTCTATAAGGGCTTGGGATGTTGGGTATGGGGTTTCAAGGTTTGACGCTTGAGGGCAGTGTTTGTGGATCAGGGTTCAGAGCTGACGGCGTGGGGATTCTCATGACGGTCCCAACGGGTCCTAGGTACTGTTATGGGGAATACTTCCCCAAACCATAATAGTAATTCCCGTTATAGAAACCCTACATTCTACCATAAAGGTACTTTGGAGCCTTTGGGGCTAGGTCCAACTCTGGGCTACGGCAGGTCGGAACTTGAAAACCCAGAGACGCATACTTGGAGGATCACGGGACTTAGTAAGTAGGGTTATAAGTACCTTAATTGGGGCTATAAGTAGATATAACTATAATTACCTTAATAACTCTACTTACTAAGTCCCATGATCCTCTCAGTAGGTTTGGGCTGGGGGGCTTCGCGCGCAGGCTTCATCCTCTACCCAAACGATGGCTTAGGGTTTAGGGTTTAGGGTTACTATACTGAACTTAGAAACCTAGCAAAAACTATAATTTTAGCTGTTTCTTAGGGATTATAAGAACCAAAGATTAAAAAATACTTCTAAGTACCCCAAAGGTTGCCCCAAGAACCTGCCGCCAGAGCAACAGAATACGAGAGCAGATCACGAAATGATGAGACGGCAGTGAAAGGAAGAAGCAATGACTGAACGATGTGACTACCTGCTCCGGCCGCAGCAAAAACCTTGAGCAAACCGACCGCGGTTTCACATGGGAGTTTCCGAAAATAGGGGACCCTAATATAGCACCCTAGATAGTAGGATCCTTATTATAGGGACCCCAAAATAAGGTACCCCTAATTCTCGGAAACTCCCACATGATGGCGCTGCCAACAAGCAGACTTTAATTGTCATCTGACATGCAGTTCCAGAACTGATATTCACAGATCTGGTCTGGAAAATAATGCCACTTCTGTGCACCTTAGCAGTGACGGCATGACAGGCCGCACGTCACTGACTCATCGCCAACGGATGAAAATGAGAAGCCATCAGGAACCTGTTCACAAGTCCTGATGATAGGACTCAAAATCTCGCCCATGGGCTCCCGTAATCGGGATAAACACCGATGGGCTTCACTGCTTCCCCTCCCACTCACAAGCACCCCTCTGACCCCGACTCTTCACTTGACGATGATTTGGGGTCATTGCCACTGAAGGCATAGGCCTTGGGCGGAGAGTGCGAGTGCATATCATAGCCGACCTTCTCGATGTCTTCGCCAATACGCAGAAGCCCGGAAAACTTCAGGATCAGGAAGGACAGCGTGGAGAGAGTCCCTGCCCATGCGATGATGGCCAGAATCATGACAATCTGTGCTCCAATGGCAGCTCCTCCCAAGCCACTGCGGCATGCACCATCGTCGCCGGTCATGCAGCCGAAACCGCTCCAGCCATGATAGTGGTCAAAGCCCTTCCCCCAATCGAAGAGACCAGCAGCGAGAAGCCCCCAAATGCCACAGGCTCCGTGCACCGCGCTGGCATCCACGGGGTCGTCGATCTTCAATCTCACCAGGAGACTTGACGCCGCCTGGTAGAAAAAGGCACCAATGAAGCCGGTGAGAACAGCGCTGCCGCACTCCATGTTTCCACAGCCCGCGGTGATAGAGACCAAGCCCGAAAGAATGCCGTTACAGAGCGCGCCGACATCGTACTTGCGCACGAGCACGAACTTCAGCAAGAACACGGTGATCCCGCAGGTGGCGGCGGAGAGAGTAGTGTTCATTGCCACCTGAGCTGCAAGGGCGCCCATCTCCTTATCATGCATCGAGAGCGTGGAGCCTGGGTTGAAGCCATACCAACCGAACCAAAGCGCGAAGGTTCCGAGCACGACCCTTAGCTGTTCTTTCCTTGGACACCTCGCACAACACATAGTCTCACAGTTATTTGTATGTATAGTAAAAGCACGTTACACAAATGCACACATACGGATCGCACATCATTAATTTGCGATTGGGCGTAAAAGTGCCAGCAGGTCTCAGCGGGATGTTGTGGTACTCGAACTCGTCGGGATTCTCGAAGCGACCCCTTCGGGGGCCGAGGATGACCGTGCCAGCGAGACCGCAAACGCCTCCTGTGAAATGGACAACACCTGCAGGAGCCGAAAAAGGCACCTAGACACAGTCCTCCTAAGTTACTTCCCTACAAAGGACGGGTTTCAATAGTTTATGTTTAAGTGCTCGATCCCTAGCCTGAGCCGGCGAAATCCATGTAGCCCACATCGAAGATGCTGGCGAGCCAGCCGCCGCCCCAGGTCCATGCTACCACAACCGGGTAGATAAAGGAAGTCATGCAGAAGGCGAAGAAAGCGTAGGTGGGACTTTTGACACGCTCCGCCACGCATCCACTCACGATGGTGGCGCCTAGGTTCAAGCACGCATGTACGCTGGTCCATCAATAGGGCAAACCAATGCGTGAGAACCTGAGGCTTTTCAAAAGAAGGATACAATAGGACACGACAACTCAGGTTGGTGCCAGCTGTGCAGAAGGCCTGGGCTGTTGAGTAATCCACTGAGAAAAGTATATAGTTTAAGGGTGACCAGAAACAAAAATGTACCAACAAGGATCCCACTGAACATCCTAGAGGCCCACTGGAAGAACCAACTCAGCATCGTGGACTGGCAGTTCCCGTCCTCACACGGGTGGAGGATCAAAAACAAAATTAAACGGGATCAAAAACAAATTTAGGCTGAACGGATCAAAAAAAATTAGGAAGGATCAAAAAAAACCTAGGGATTGGAGATTTGCTGCAAACAACGGCAAGTGCTATTCCAATATCTCCGCGTCGAAACTGTGCGAAACTACGGTGTCAATCCCGGAAAAGTCTGGGACCGCGTAGAGGGTTCGAACGGTTGGTGTAACCAGAGTTGCTGGCCATGGCTGCGTGGGTCAAGCAGCTCTATTTGCCAGGATGAGATTCCAATAGTTCAGCGTCGGAATTTTGCGATGCTATATATATATATATATCTGGTGTCAAGGCCACAAAAGGCCACAAAAGCCTGGCACAGCGTGGAGGGCTTCGACGTTAACAGTTGCCGGCCATGGCTGCGCGCGCAGGTTTTTCGGAACTCGCCAGCTCCGCGTCGAATATATATATATATATATATATATATATATATATATACATACATATATATACATGTACACTTTTTATATATATATATATACACATATTTGTACCAACTGTCTCCTTGAATAAAGATGCATTTGTCTTTTGATCGTTTCTATTTTTTTAATTGATCCCTTTTTATTTTCTTCTTTAATGCCTTTACATTTTCTTGTCGATCTTTTTTGATCCGTCAGCTAGACAATCTCCATCCTGGTCCAAGTCTTGTGCCACGGTAGACATGCCACGAAAACAAACGGACAGCGTCATCTTGCCCAAAGGCGGGCAGCGAGGCTTCGCTGATCAGTGTCGAGAAGCCGTGAGTGGCCGCGAGTTTGCGAGGCCAAAAAGCGAGGAAGCCGACAAGGCCCAGTCATCGTACGCATGTTATCTGGAAGCCCAGAAGCCAAGAAGCCAAGAACTCGAGAAGCCAAGCTGCCCAAAGCCAAGAAGCCAAGAACCCGAGAAGCCAAGAAGCTAAGAAGCCGGCAACGAAGCCTAGAAGCCAAGAAGCCAAGAAGCCAAGCAGCCAAGAAGCCAAGAAGCCAAGCCGCCCAGAAGCCAAGAAGCCAAGCCGCCCGGAAGCCAAGAAGCCAGGAACCCAAGAAGCCAAGAAGCCAGAAAGCCAACCGAGCCCAGAAGCCAAAAAAGCCGCGGAGCCAGGCAGCACAGAAGCCAGGAGCCCAGAAGCCGAAGGCTGCCAAGCGAGGAAATAGGCACATTACCTCGTAAACGCTAAGTTTGTTTTTGAGTCTTTCTAAGTTTTCTTTGATCCTTCCTAATTTTTGTTTGATCCCCTTTAAATTTTTTTTGACCCCTCTCCCTCCTCACACTCCACCGGGACGATATTGCCCGATGCATCTTTGGTGTAGAAACCCAGGCCGAAGAAGCCATCTGTGCCAATGAAAGCCCCGGCTTGGGAGCCATACGCAAAGGCCCAGCCAAACATCCACCAACCCAATGTGCCAACTGACACCTGGTTCTTGGTTGGGATAGTATTAAGAAGTGTAGGTAGATTTCTATTCCTGGGATTTACGTGCCCATACACGTGTAAAATGTTACCCAACTATGTCAAAAGCACGTTGACAAGATTTTTCATCAGGACGTTCGAGGCATTCTTTGCACGGCAACAGCCAGTCTCCAACATTGCAAATCCTGCATGCATAAACATGACCAGCGCTCCACAAAGGACCAACCAAGCCGAATCCATAGCGCCAGCCATACTCTCCTGGGTTTCGGTCATCTGCTTCAGCTCCTTTCGCTGCTCCTCCAACAACGCCTTTTGGGCCTGCAGCTCACGAAGGAGATCAGCAGGAGAGTCCTGCGACATCGCTGTCGCAGTCAAGGCGGCAGCAAGAGCAGCTGCGAGATAGACCTTCATGCTCAGGACACTCGAGTTGCCACTTCGCTCCTCTAACTACTTGCTACCTGCAAAACTGGCTGCAGCGAGGAAGGCCTCAAGGACAAGGGTTTAGGGTAGGATTGGGCTTACTCCGGTCGCTGCAAGTAAAAGAGGTCTGAAACAAAGCCTGGGCAGGCCAGATTTCGGCTCAGAAAATGCGACGAAGGCACTCTGAAGATGCGATCGTTTGCAGATCCATTTCAGAACATTTCTTGCGTGTAATGTAGGGGCCTTAATATTTAGAATGGTTGGGGGGCTGCGTATCATAAATAAGTATAATATACCCCAAAACCCCCGTCCAATCGTTAACGCCCCTACAGTATCCCGGCCTGTCAAGCCGGCGCATGCGCCACGCAACTCCCAGCTGGGGCCAGGTTTGAAGGCCGGCCTCAAATGTTCAGGGCTGAAGGCTTAGGGTTTAGGGCCTGCGGGTTTAGGGTTTAGGGTTTAGGGGTTTAGGGGTTTGGGGGTTTGGGGGTTTAGGGTTTAGGGTTTAGGGTTTAGGGTTTAGGGTTTAGGGGTTTAGGGTTTAGGGCTTCAGGGTTAAGGGCCGATGTGATTCTCACTACCTTCAAAACAAGAGCTACATTCCTTCCAACCCCACCATCCGGAGCTTCCCGCAAATTTTGGCCTTAAACATTAGGCTTATGAGTTGCGGGCTTCGAGTGCAGGGGTTTGGGTTTCGCAGCGTATAGGGCTGGGACTGGAGGTTGGGATCATGAGGGTTTAGGGCTTAGGGTCCTTTGCAAAACACTTTCCAAGACAGCGTGGGTAAGCTTTCTGTCGACGGAGGGGAGCTCTTCGGTGGAAAGAATGCCCCAGACAAGGATGTGTTCTTGCTGCATCTGCTCTTCTTGGGAGTATTGTAGGATCAAGTATCGTTGTGTGCTCAGCTTCTCACGTCAAGAGTGTTAGTTTTGTTTCCCACGTTCTGCATGCAGCTCTGCTTTGCGATGCGTGGGAATCCGATGCAAAGTCCCAGCACTGGGCGTGAGACTTCAGCACCAAACATCAAAAGGGGTGCGCGGCAGGTTCCTGCCCAAAAATTCTCCCTGAAGCTTAATTTACAATCCCGAACCAGGTACCGGAAACCCACCAACCCCTTCTTGAGCTCCCTGGCCCAAAAGAGGGTGCGCCAGCGAAAAGCAAGTTCTCCTCGCCAGGGTGGAGGGGAGAATTTAGGGTTTAAGGGCTTTCGTTCCTCTACGTAGACCATCTTCCTTTCAACTAAGTCTTAATCTAGGATGCCCAGTAACCTAAGAACAAAAAGGCCTCTCTTTTTGGTATTGGTTAACTTTATAAGGAACCTAGGACTACAAAAAGGAAATAAGGGTACGACTGGGCATCCTAGTAATATGCGCCTGCACGCAACCCAAAGCCCTCCATCCCAGACCCCAGCTTTGGTCCCCTGCGGCCTGAGCCCCGAATTGGCCTAAACTAAACCCTAAACCCTAAACCCTAAACCCTAAACCCTAAACCCTAAACCCTAAACCCTAAACCCTAAACCCTAAACCCGAATTGGCCTAAACTACTGAACCCCGAACTTCAAGGCCGCAAACCATACGACCTTAAGCTTTAGACCTTAGAACCGTGAAAAACTCAAACCCCGGAACACCCAAAACCTAAGTTAAAACCTCAAACTCCAAACCATAAGCCCACACCCTAAACCCCCTACTTGAGAGGAAGCTGGATATCTACTTCGGAGTTTAGGAATGAGGTTAGGGTTGTGACTTCTGAGTTTTGGTATATACTTCCTTCCCCGAAACCCTGAACTCTGAACCCCTAAACCCCTAAAGCCTTTAAACCCTAAAACCGCACTCTCTTGTTTACTCTGGTGGGCCTTAGGGTTCTGGGCTTTGGGATCGTCGGGCTTGGACGTGGGTGGTTCTCTGAATTAGGGTCCCTGTTTAGGGTCCGTGTCTACAAGGATGCCGTACTATCCCAGAGACTCCAATATCCCTTAATTAAGGAATATACCCTAAGTCATATTAAGGATCCTACTATATTTAAGGTATATCCCTTAATCAAGGAATATACCTTAAATCATATAAGGGATCCTACTATGATTTAAGGTATATTCCTTAACTAAGGGATATTGGAGTCTCTGGGATCTTTGGTGACCTAGAAGGGGCCGCTGATTTAGAAAACAACGCACGTCGACTGTCGAAGTCCGAGCGTGGCTTTTCAGGTGGGTCTACGGTCTACGTTGGGTACGGCCCCCACTCAGTAATAGTTGAATAATATTCATAATATAGATATATTAGGACCTTAATAGTAGCCTTATTATAGACTCTGACTGTAAGGGGGCCGTAGTTAAGGTCTTCGCCTCCGGAATGGAAACACGCCCAACACAACACAACACAACCCAACAATACAGGGCCTTAATAATTTGAATAGGGTTTGGGGGTTGTAACAATATACTATACTATACTTGTAATAAGGAACCCCCAAAATAGTATAGGTAGCTATGAAAGCCTCTATATTAGAAGCCATAAGAACCTGTACCCAGAGCCTCCAAAACCCCTTAATTAAGGAATATTCCTTAAATCATATTAGGAATCCTACTATAATTTAAGGTATATTCCTTATTTAAGGGGTTTTGGAGGCTCTGGGTACCTTAAGCTCTAAACCCTAAAACCTAAGCCACAAGGCTTCGTCTGAACACGCACCGGTTCAGCCAGTTTGGTCCTCGATCGCCTTCTCCTCCTCCTCGACAGCCTCCCATGCTCTTGATTAGGGTTTAGGGTTTGGGGTCGAAGGTTGTTCATGGAATTTCCCAAGATGTCTGTTGGTGTTCTTAAGGCGGTCTTCCAAGCTTTCTAACGAGGTGTTTGAGGTTCGTGCGCCAAGAATAGTGAAATCTAAGCCCTCAGCCAAACCAAAAAAACAATTCTGCCCCGGGAGTGCCACCCTGCACCAAAATTCCACCCTAAGAATTTGGAGTTCGGGCCCCTAAACCCCAACCGTGTTGGGGCATCGAAAGGTTTACAGGGCTTTGGGCGTAGGGCCTGAATGATTGCCAATCCTATTTTGGTGCTCCGCACTATATAATATAACATAGCCCCCAAACTAAATACTAAGACCCCTATAGTACTATAGTATTAGTAATTCAACAGCTAGAAATTCCAACCCAAAACCATTCAAGCCCCAAGCCTCTAAACCTACAAAGCTGTACGAAGACACCTATAGAACCAGTTGAAAAGACCCTCTGCGAAGATGGACAGCTACGAGAAATCCCGTTAACCGTAATCCCGAAACCCTCATCCCTCATCCCTGGGCCTTAAACTCCAAAGTGAAGCCCGAACCCCTAAATGCTTGATGAACACCTAAGCCCTCAACAACTAAATCCTTCAACCCCTGAACCCCTAAGCCCTAAACCCCGAAACCCTCAACCCCTATATCCAAAAACTATCCCCGATCCCTAGATACTAAACCCCAAACCTCAAACTTTCAAACTCCTAGACCCTAAACTCCAAAGCCTTAAACCCTAAACTCCTAAACTCCTAGGCCCTAAACCCTAAACTCCTCAACCCTAAACCCTAAACTCCTAAACCCTAAGTCCAAAGCCCTAAACCTCGAAACAACACACGAAGCGCTGGCCTCGGGAAGCCAAACTTCGGGCATGGTGCCTCGGGGTTGTTTTGTTTAGGGTATGGGGTTTTGGGTTTTGTTTTTAGGGTTTGGGATTTAGAATATTTAGAATTGTGTTCTTAGGGTTTTGGGGTTTGGGGGTTTAGGGCTTTGGCTATAACGTTTTCGGTTTAGGGTTTAGGGCTTAGGGCTTGGGGGTTTGAGGTTTGAGGTTTGGAGTTTAGGGCTTTGGCTTTAAGGTTTTGCGGTTTAGGGTTTAGGGCTTAGGGTTTTGGGGTATGAAGTTTGGGGTTGAGGGTCTTGGCTTTAAGGATGTGGGGGTTTTCTGGTTCAGGGCTTATAGGGTCTTGGGGTTTGAGGTTTGGAGTTTAGGGTTTTGGCTTTAAGGTTTTGGGGTTTAGCGCTTAGGGTTTCGGGGTTTGAGGTTTGGGGTTTGGAGTTTGGAGTCTAGGGTTGGGGTCTAGGGTTTGGTGTTTGAGGTTTGGGGTCTGGGGTTTGGAGTCTAGAGTTTAGGGTCGGGGTTGGGGGTTTAGGGCTTAGGGGTTTAGGGTTTGGGCTGTATGTTTTCAGGTTTTGAGTTTGGGGTTCCGGGTTTGACGGGTTCTGTATCTGCTGCTTCAGGGTAAACTACAAAGAGCTATAATGTTGTACAAAGGCCTTATTACCTAGATTCAAGCATTGGCGTGCAGGGGCCCCTAAACCCTAAACCTTAAACCCTTCAACCCTGAAACCCTCCCAATACCCCTTAATCTTAGGATTATGCCTTAAATCATAAGCTATAGCAAATCCATGCTGATCTTTACAAATGTCAGGAAGAGCAGCACGGAGAGTTATTGTAACTGAGGCCTACAACTTTGAAGGGGTTGCTATTAAGCATTCTTCCGACCCCTGTCGTGCCCCTTACTATACTGAGCTTAGAACCCTAGCAAAAATCATAATTTTAGCTGTTTCTTAGGGATTATAATAACCAGAAATTGAAAATATTTCTAAGTACCCCTAAGTTATAGTAACCTTTACTGCAAGCCTTCCAAAATCCCTTTCAGCAACCGTTCCCAAGGGCCCCAAACCCTAAACCGTGAAGCCTTACAGGAGCCCTGAAACGGAACCCTTCAAAAGCACCCTTTAAACGAACCCCTTAAGGGATTTTTGACACGCACCCTTTAAAAGAACCCCTTAAAGGAACCCTTAAAGGAACCCTTAAAGGACCCCTTAAAGGAACCCTTAAAGGAAGCCTTAAAGGAACCCCTTAAAGGAACCCTTAAAGGAAGCCTTAAAGGAACCCCTTAAAGGAAGCCTTAAAGGAACCCCTTAAAGGAACCCTTAAAGGAACCCCTACAGGAAGCCCTAAAAGGCCCTCGTGGAGGCTCCGGCTGATGTCAAATGGCACT